AGCTTTTGCAGATAACTTGGTTTGGGTTTTGGCAGATCCTTTAAAGGGAATTGAACTTTTAGTGAGTAAATTAAAAGAATTTGGGGCATTAGCAATTTCAAGATTAATAAACAGAAGACAAAGATGTTAACAAAAAACATGAAGTTACAAGATCAAACAAAACTGATGAATAAAATGGGTTTCAAGATTGAGAAGAAGGCAAAATATTGGGGTATAATTATGACAAATACGAATTGTATGTTATTTCAAAATAACTGTGTCAAATCATGGAATGAAATTAAAAAAGGTATGTCAAGATGGTACAAAGTACAATTGTCACTGTTGGGGAGAATGTCTGTGTTTAAGATGAATGTTTTACGTAGAATGTTATTTTTGTTTCAGATAATACCTGTTTTGACAACTGATGTACCATTTAAACAATGGCAGAAGGTTATATCTAAATTTGTATGGCAGGGGGAAAAAATTAAATATAAGGTACTACAAGATGCCAAGGGAAGAGGACAATTGGGCTTTCCAGATTTGAACTATATTTTGCTGCTTGCTGTTTAGTTTGGATGAAAGAGTGGGTGCTGCTGAGAAATAGAGGGTTTTTGGAGTTAGAAGGACACATCCTGAGATTTGGCTGACATTAATATTTGTGGTACGACAAAGTCAAGGTTCATGTGGATTTTAAAAATCATTATTTTAGATGTGCCATATTGAAAATATGGAGTAGATACAAACTCAGGTTGTGCCTGAAAGCACCTTCATGGCTCTCAGCACAAGAAGCATTTTATAGACAAGAAATGACACGTAGACACAAATGGGTAACTTACCGAGATGTACTAGAATTTTGTCAAGGGGATTGTAAAATGAAATCAAGAGAAGATCTGATAACTTGTCCATGGTTTTCTTATGTACAATTATCAGAAAGTGGATAAAATATTTTATGGTTTTGAATCAGGTAAGACTGAGTTTGAAATAGAATTATGTACTAACGAGGAACATGTTATTGCTAAAATGTATAAACTTTTGCTGAAATATGAGACAGAAGAAGAGCAAGGGAAAGAATGTATGATAAAATGGGCTAAAATGTTCATTGTAATGTACAAATGGATCAATCGGAGAATATGTGGTTGAAAGGATTGAAATTTACATTGTGTTCTAGCCTTAAAAAGAATTTTTATAAAACACGTATCATTAGTATTTGTCACCAGATAAACTGTCTAGAATGTATAAAGGTAGTTTGAATCTTTGCTGGAAATGTGAACAACATGAAGGGACGTTTTATCATGTTTGGTGGAAATGTAAAAAAGCTAAAAAAAATTGGATACAAATATGTATGTGTATGTGTACGTGTGTGTGTGTATCAATCAGGAGGTTTTAAAGGTGAAAGTACAACTAAACCCAGAGACTTTTCTTTAGGCACTAATGGACAAGCAACTAGAAAAAAGTCATGAAACTTTGTTTTTATATATGACAACTGCGGCAAGACTATTATATCCTCAAAAGTGGGAAGGTTCGACACTACCCACAATGGAGGAAGGCTTGGTGAGGATGATGGAACTTGCAGAGATGGCTAAAGTAACGTTTTTGATCAGAGAGAAGACAATTTACGGCTGACTGGAAACCTCTTACAGACTTTTTGCATGAAATGGGAAAAAATGCACTTATGACTTGTGGATGTGATGATTAGGAAAAGAAAAAACCTGGATAATAGAAAAAAGTGAGACTTTTTTGTAATCATAGAGTAAGAGATAATTGTGTAATTATACATATTTGCTGCAAAGGAAATTGGAAGCTTCTTCTTTCTATTTCTTTTTATTCTTTCTTTCTGCACTTTTGCTTTTTTCCTTCTTTCTTTCTTTGCTGCTTCTACTTTTTAGTAGTTTGTGTTAGTTTTTACATTCTTTGTAAAACTTTTAATAACACTTATTTCTAAAAGAGAGAGAGAGAGAGACAGTGCAGGCAAAAGTGTGATCCCAGCCAGAGCTCTGTCTCCAAATCCAATTTCCTGCTGACCAGCAGAACCTCTTACCTTGTCTTGTCTGTATTTAATGTTATCTTTTTCTCCCTCACCCAGCCCGTGACTGAACCGAGGCAGGGTCCAAAGTTATGGATTGCGTCTTTGGAGTTAGGTGGCAGGAAGCAGAACTGCTGGGTGTTATCAGTCCTGTGACATCCAGCTCCAAAGCTCCAAGTGATAGCATGTAGATGTCGAATAGTATGGGGGATAAAATTCCCCATGCCGGCTGGGGAATTCTTGGAGCTGAAGTCCACGCACCTTCAGGTGGTCAAGGTTGAGGAACCCTGCCCTAGTGCCACTTTGGATAAAGGCCTGACAGGAAGGATGGGAAGCGCTGCATCTCCACCACTACCACCACCACATTCCTTAGCCATTGGTCATGAAAAAATGTACCCATCGGATTTTATGGACCTCTTGACTTTAAATCTCAGCCAGGTTAACTCAATAAATTTCTGTCCATAAGCTTTTATTAGGTAATTTACTCTGTTTTTTCTTCTATTCTTACTAATGGTCATAACCTAAATTTCTCAGAAACTCTGGAATAAAAAAGCACCAAGACTGTGTATAATTTTTCTAAAAAGTTGATTATATATGATTAGGGCTCCTATTAATAAAAATGGTTAATTGTTTAACCTTATTCTAAATTTCAAGAATGCCCAGAACATTATCAGGATTAAACATTTATCAAAATTAACATGCTAACTTACTGTTAACTTTAAATTGTGCCAGTCAAATTAATCAAATGCTTTCTTGACATTCTTGGATTTTTCTTTCATTCAGCTTTACTAATTGTCCTCCTGACACCTTCCTCTCACCAAAAGTGACCTTCCTCCTTCCTTCGTTAAAATGATAAAAGGTTCTGTTATAGGCCTGGGGCAATGGACCAGCAGCAGGGCGGCAGCTTGCTCAGAAGAAGGTGGCATTACCTGGCGTAGGCTCAGCCCACCCCCAAACCCTCAAAAACTGGAAAATGGATGCGCCAAGGCCTTAAGAAGCCCATAAGAGAAAAGAAGAATTTACATACTTGTAAGGAGCATCTTATTAGGCTGGTTTTATTTTTACCACGAGAAGATAAGACTTCCCCTGTTACACAAGGATGTTTTATCAGGAAGGAACACGAAGTCCTTGTTTTGCTTTTTAACTCTCCCAAATTATCATAGTGCTAAACAGCATAAAGCATTCAGATTCCTTGCTGACAGTCATAAACTTAGTCTTCTGAAGGCTTGGAGCAATGTTCAAATACAGTAAAGTAAAACCAGAAGGGAAGCGGAAGGGAAGGGAAGGGAAGAGCAAGAACAACACAATGTTTTCTGTACTTTCTGCCCTAAATGAAGTCCCTCTCTTATTGCAAACTCACCTAATTATTCAACATTCATTCCAAAAGATCCTCATTCAGTTCAGCAGATGTTAAATACTGTTTCACAAGGGTAAGTAAAAACCCAGGTACCTTCTTGAATTAAGAGTCCTCTGTACACTGCATTGAGACATTCTTCATCCAGAAGGACCTCAATTCCAGCAGCTTCTTCTGGCGAAGAGAGCCAGAAATAGTCTTCCAGCAACAGATTCTCCATGCAGTGATTTAAAAAACCTGTCAAAGGCATTTTTCCACATGATTGTATCATCCACCGTGGTTTATTCTTTAAAAATACTTAAGTAATATTAAAAGAAGCATATTTTTCCTGGAAGTATCATGCCTTTTGACAAGGTACCAAAAACTCTTTGACCTCCATAGTATTTCTACCCTTAATCCATCCAAGGTACAGAACTCAAAAAGAAAAGAAGGGGTAGAGCTGTGGGGCAGCTGTGCCTTATGGGGAAAAAGGATCCTTCAGTCTCTGACTAGAGTTCAGTACAGGTTGAAGAGGGAAACATTCTTATTTTGACCATTGTTGGGATTTCTTATTTTCAGTATCGTCAGCTTCAATCTGAATACAAGCTCCAGTGAAATCAGGAGGATCTGAATACCGAACCTGAGGCCTTTCCCACTCCGGACCCTTCCCCAGTTCTTTTGTGGCAGAAAACTCTACAGGCAGACAGCTGCTGGCTCTGTATTGCACTCCGTCCTCAGTTACTGGCCTTTGCGGAGTAACAAAGCAGATTTTATACTCCCTGAAACTGTCCTTGGATGGGGAACACCACCTTCACCACACCCCAGCCAAGGACAACTTAAGGCTGTCTCCCTCCCAGAGTGAGGACGGAATGGAGGCAACTCGGGGGGACACAGCAGAGAACAGGCACGTGGGGCAAGCCTGCAATCGTACTCTATTAACTACTTCTATAGATTACTTTCTGTTGCACCAGCACTACTCCAGCCCCGTCTTCATGAATACCTTAGTTTCCCAAAACAGAATAACAAAAACTACTGTATGATTTTGTTATCACTGTTACTGGTAGGAATCTCCTCAGAATCACTACAGAAAGGTCCGTGCTCAGCCTCTGCTCACCAATCCCGCATCGCTGGGGATAAGAATTTTACCATTTTTCCTGGCTCTGGAAGTTGAGGAAACTTTAGAGAGAAAAGCAGCAGGCTCAAACCTGTCTGAAAGCACAGTTGGACCCTGGACTCAGGGAGACGGATCCAATCTGAATAGTTTCTGGATTCCAAAACTCTACTCCATGAAAACCTTTCGTATGAAATTAACTGAAGTACTATCGTATACAAAATTTAAAACCGGATCTTTAAATTTGTATACCTTAAACAATGTCTTAATATTCAGAGTACAAACAACCACCAAAATACCAAACTTTCTTATCAGTTTCTTTACCAAGAGAATAGTAAGTTATAAACTTCCAGATTTCCTCCAAGGTCCAAAATGTTACTGCGATGAGATGGTCTTCACTGTGAATGGACAGTAATCTGGCCGACAACTCCTGAGGAAAGCAAAGAGGAATCACACACTTCTTCTGTGAACAGAACAAGTAAATGTCTGAGTTTAAATATAAGAAAGTCACAGTTGCAGGGTGATTCTATATGACACCCTTTCTCCCTCTTGAAAAATGGCATACATTTGACTGGCCAAAAAGTGAATTAGACTTTCGCAGCTTATAGAAATGCCTTTCCTGCATATCTAGCCCAGTCACATCTACTCTTAAAAGCATTTCAGTTTAATAAATATTATTCCAATATGTTACACATTAAAAATATTCTATTTTCTTAATGGGTTAAGACACTTACATGTGTACTCTAGAAACAGACACTGACTTTCCTATAAAGGATCTTGTGAGACAAAAGCAGTCTCTAACCTTTTTAGAAGAGGAACAAGAGACGATCGGGAGACCAACGAGAAAGTGAGGTCCCACATATCAGGATGTCCTTGGCCACCTGATATCGCTGTGGCTTCCACTAGGCAAGGGCTCAGGGATTCAAACTTCAGAAGAGCATTTGGCCCTAAGGACTTTCCAGAAGGTTCCCATAACTCCTCCACACACCGCTCTTTCCAACTGGGTTCGTAACACAAAACTAGCCAAAAGCTTACTTTCATCCCACATTTAAGAACTTACACTAAAAACCACCATGGCCCGTTGGCTGTCATTCTCCAGGAGACGGAGTCTCCCTTTCAAATACTCCTCCAGCTGAGAATCAGGAAGTCCAGTCCTTTGTCTGATCATTATTATCTTCAGGAAGAGAGCTGAAAATATCAAGTTTTATGGATAATGGATACGTCCCCAAAGACAGCAGTTCAGTTTTCCTTTCATCCACTTCCTGTTGAGGGCAATGGTGTTTTATGACTTTGGGCACGTGCACTTTTCTTCTTTGGGGTACCTGTGGGGCTCAGGTGTGAGTGAGAAGTCTTCACTTTTTATTGCAAGAAGTCAGAAAATGGGTAAATGAAATAACCACTACTTTCCCTGAAATGAGTAACAAAATCTCACCTGCAAACCTGCCCAGTGAAGGAGACCAGAAGGAGGGTCCCTTGGTGTAGAGGACAGAAGGAATGGCCTTGAAGAAGAGCCACTATCAAGGCAATGGTCAGATAAGAGGGGCCTGAGCCCAGGCCAAGGAACTAACTTGAGAAAGCGTCACAGATAAGCCCCTTCCTGGTTCACACAAACAGAAAGGGAGGGAGGGGGAAGCACATTCAGGCTTGCAAGATTCTGTTACCATAGCTCAGTGTTTCTCAAACTTGGCAACTTTAGGACATGTGGACTTCAGCTCCCTGAATTCCCCAGCCAGCATGTGAAAGGGAACCTGGAAAAATACAGTGAGTGTGTGTGTGTGTGTGTGTGTGTGTTACCTTTTTGTGGCTGCTGCAATGCAGTTCCCTCCTTCCCCGCTGAAGATGACAAGACATTTGGGTGGGCTGGCGAACATGTGTGGCCCAAGTCCTGCTGTCCCAGGAGATCGGGTTCTTCTTCCCAGCATGGGGTCTGCCCTGCTCTGGGGTCGAGGGGAGAGCTGGGGGAAGGCTTTCCCTGGGGAGCACCGTCACAGGTGGTGGCAGCAGGGCTCCCGACATGTTCTGCTGCGGCTCCTGAGGAGTCCATCTTTTGTAGGTGCAGCCTGGGCAGTAACAATGCCTACATGGCACAATGCCTACAGGGCAACAAACAGTCTTTGGTTAAAACGTCACCATTGCTGCGAGTCACTCATGAGGTGGACTTTGGCAAGGGATTCCTTCACGGCCCCATTTCACCCCAGCTACGTGATAATACTGTCACGTGCAGGATTAGGACTAGACTGTGCATGTGACGTCTCTGGAATATCTGAAATCACAGTTCATCAATAGGACAGTGAGTTATCCTTATTTATTCCCTTTTAGCAGGAAGTCCTGCTTAATTCCATGGACGGATCCCATGGACTAGACTCCTCTCACAGACGAGTTATCATTTCTGCACAGAGGTGCGCAATTGCTTCGAATCGTCTCCCACACCTTTCAGTGTTACTTTATTAGGGAAGAACAATTCCTCTCTTGTAATGGACCACCTTTCCAAAACCATGCTTGCTCTGATTTTGCAATTAAGTTTATTTAAACTTGCTTCCTTTAAACTTGTGTTATGAAAATCAGAATAAAATAACACAAAAGCACAAGGCCTCGTATGTGTTGTTGAGAGACCCAAAGTTGGCCAGTTATGGTGGAGGATTGCAAGTTGACTCCAGTGGCCACAACAATTGAAGAAAATCAGGAAAACTGTTTTTTATTAGAAGTCTATTTTTCTCTCCATAGTGATGCTCAAGGCAGTTTAGCAGTAATTTTAAAAGGATAGAAACAGAATTATGAACATAAACTGACAAACACATCCAAAGAAACATTAAACATTTATTAAAGCCCAGGTAAGCAAGCAAATGAGGTTAACTGCCAAATCCCTGCCTAAAGAAGGTCCTTGCCTGCTTGTAGAAGACACACGAGAGGGACCTCATCTAACCTTCAGCGGGCAAGAGCTCCACATCCTGGAAGCTGCTACTGAGAAGGTCCTTTTTTTTCTTTCTTTTCTACCAAATATCCCTGATGGTGGTGTAATGGTATGTGGGAATGACCTTGAGAGACAAGGGGAAGAGATGCTGCCTAGGGAACTATCAGGTAAAAGGGAGAGGAGCCCACAGCTGCATAATGGGCAGAGAAAGAAACTCAGAAATGATCTGCCCTCACTTCTCAGGCTGTAAAGGAGACAGTGGGAGATTTGTACTTTCAGACTTGCAAGATTCTGTTAATGTAGCCTTACAATAAAGTAGAATTAGCTCACCTGGTCATGTGCCCTGACTGGTCTACCTGGGAAGGCTGACATCAATCTTGCAAGTCTCTTACTCTCTTCCAGAGAGAGGAATTTCAGGGATAGCCTCCAATCCTCAAGGAACCCCACTATCCACTGAGCATCTGGCAGCAGCGTTGTTGCAATGCCAGCAGCAGGTAGATACACAGATGTCCAGTTTGCAAAATGCCACGATACAACTAACACAACAGTTGGGGCAGAATTTGCCCCAATCCGCGGCAGCCCAACAGACAGAAACTCAGCCAATGCTCCTGCGTGCCCATGGGAGGTTGCCGAAGGAGGTCAGAGGGGACCAGGATCCATTCCAGGGATTTGTCGCTCAATGTGAAATCTTTATGGCAGGCTAGTGGAGTTTCCCACTGATCACACCAAAGTGACTTTTGTGCTAAGTTTGCTTGAAGGAAGTGGCAACTAAGTGGGCAATGCCATTCATTGAGGGGAACAATCTGGTGCTGGACAACTATCAGGACTTCATGCGTAAACTCAGGGGACACTTTGGGGATCCCATATAGAGAATCACAGCTAGGTGAGAAATCCAGAAGCTCAAGCAGGGACAGTAAGGTCATACATTTTGGACTTTAAATGACTTGTGGGCGACGTAGGGTGGAATGGCTTAGCCCTGACTGAGCAGTTCAGAGAAGGGCTGACCGATGACCTAAGAGACGAGCTGGTGAGGCGAGGCACCCCAAATACTCTGGAAGAGCTGTATCAGTGTTGTGTAATAACAGATGCCCGACTGGAAGAGTTAAGGCAGGGAAAGCACGGTAAGGGGAGAAGAACCTACAACCTATCTTCCCCCAGACCACCCCTCCCAGTAGCCTCCTGGGAATCCAGTGTGGGAGAAACCCCGCAGATCAGAGCAGCCAAGAGATCCCTGTCCTCAGGAGAAAAGCAAAGAAGAAGGGACGAGGGACTGTGCTTTTACTGTGGGGTCCCAGGACACGTAGCCAGATCACACTCAGTAAAAGCACCAGCGTCTGATGCAGCAATGAGATGCAGCACCTGTGAATCACTAGAGCACGTAGCCAGCGAGTGTCCAGCTCGATCTGAAGTAGCACTCCAGGGAGACTTCGCCATCCCCCTGCCAGGAGCTCCAGAGGGGGGCCCTCCACCCCTGGAGGAGAGCTTGGACGGCCAGCAGCAGGCACGCGCCCTCCATTACTCCCGTTATTGTTGCTTCAGATTCCAGGAGGAAGATGGCGCTTTCTGCTCTCACAGACTCTGGGGCAACCGCTAATTTCACAGGTATAGAAACAGTACAGAAAATTCGTACAGACCGTAAGAATTTAGAGGTTCTGCAAAACACCCAATCCCTCACCCCTTGGCAAATCAGAGGAGCACAATTTTTCTCCCACTTTGACTGTTACATCTCATACGTTCCAGGCTCCCAGAACAAACTTCCAGAGGCTCCATCGCGTATGCCGGAGTTCAAGGTCTCCCAGTCACGCACCCTTGCCCCCGCAACGGTACTCCAGCCTTGCAATTTTGAGTCACACCATAAATCAGACCAACAGCAGGAAGACAAGCGGTTGGTCTCTTTGATCGGATTAGGGCACAGCCACAGGAGGAGGGTGCATATGCCAGGGCCTGGATGGATGACCTCCAGGGAGTCCAACAAGGTACTGCTCCGCCTTTCACAGTGGAGGGGCGGCAGCCATTGCACAATGGATGTTTATATGTTCCTCTCTCCCTACGGGAGGAACCACTACAGCTGTGCCTCGACAACAAAACAGCAGGACATGGGGGGATGTTTAAAACTCAACATAGGGCCCTCAGAGAGTTTTGGTGGCCCCACATCCACACATAAATTAGGGAATATGTTTCCGCTTGTCACGTCTGCTGCAGAGCAAAACCAATCCCTGGGAAGCCAGCTGGGTTACCGCAGCCGCTAAAGACCCCACTGCAGCCCTGGGACACGATTTCTCTACATTTCATCGCAGACCTTCCCCCAGTATGGGAATATGCTACCATATTGGTGGTAGTGGATTTATTTACCAAACTGGCTCATTTTATTCCTTGCAAGGGCCTCCCGGCAGCCGAAGAAAGAGCTGAACTCTTGTTGGACCACATCTCTAGATATAGAGAATTGGTCAATCATGTAATTATGGACCGAGGAAGTCAGTTCACTTCCAAATTTTGGAAGGCCCTCTTGCACTTATTAAATATTAAAATTCATTTGTCTTCCTTGCATCATCCAGAGGCCACCAGAGAAGCTGAGAAGGTTAACCAACTATTACAGCAATATTTAAGATGCTATGTTTCTTATCAGCAAGACAACTGGACTGAGCTCATACCTCTTGCTGAATTTGTTTACAACAGTACAGCCCACTCCTCTGTCGGTATGTGGCCCTTCCAGGCAACTTACGGATTCCACCCACAGGACTTACCAACAACCAGACAAGAAAGCACAGTCCCTTGCACCACAGATTTCCTGCATGAGAGGCAAGCAGCCCAAAGCCTTTTAAATGAACAGCTCGAACTAGTTAAGGCAGCATACAAAAAGCAGTAGATGCACACAGACGGGAGGGAGCTAGAACTGCAGAAGGGGACTGGGTGTGGCTTTCTACAAAATTTCTAACTTCTGCGAGATCTTCCAAGAAACTAGACTCGAAATGTATTGGTTCTCTCACAGTGACTAAGCAAATAAACCTTTCATTTGCGATTGCCAGCATCAATGAAGGTTCATCCTGTATTCCATCGGTCTTTGCTTGTGAAAGAGGCTCCCCCCTGCACTCTGCATTCACAGACGGCACCCCCTTACTGACAAATGGGGAGGAAGAGTACGAGGTGGAAGTGGTGTTAGACTCTAGACACAGAGGGAAGCAGGTTGAGTACTTGATATACTGGAAAGGCTACCCAGAGTTGGAGAAGTCATGGGAGGCAGCAACGGACGTGCACGCGCTGCAGTCGGTGTACTGCTTTCATGACCAATACCCTAACAAACTCTGTCCTCGGCAACTACCAGCTTTGCAGGAGTTAGGCACTGACCAAGGTGAGCAGGAGGAGTTCTTCTGTGGGTTGAGGGGCGCCTCAGGGATAGCAAGAGTTCAAGTAGGGGGCATGGGAAATAACCCAGCTCCTTCCACATCAGACATGGGGATTCCCAATGGAGGGGTGTCAATCACCTCTACAGGCGCAGCTGATTTATGGGACGCTGCCTGTGATCTCGGGGAGTTACCGGCAGAAGAGGGGAGTGGCACAGCTACATTTTGTTCTCACAGCCCACAATCTGTTTCCCCTGGGAACTCGGGAGGGGGGGATGAGTCTGAAGGGGAGGGTGATGTAATGGTATGTGAGAAAGACCTCAAGAGATGGGGCGAAGAGATGCTGCCTAGGGAATGATCAGGTAAGGGGGGGAGGAGCCCGCAGCTGTATAATGGGCAGAGAAAGAAACTTAGAACGGATCTGCCCTAACTTATCAGGCTGTAAGAAAACATGGCGGGAGATTTGTGCTTTCAGATTTGCAAGATTCTGTTAATGTAGCCTTACAATAAAGTACAATTAGTTCATAAGTTTGTGTTTCCTGTCTGGTCTACCTGGCAGGCTGACAGGTGGTGAGATGGAGAGAAAGATCTCTCCAAAGATTAAATTTATTGTATTTATTAAATAAAATATCATTAAATTTATTAAGTCACAGATTTTAACCATCCCACTGAATCCTGCTGAGAAATAATCTGTGAGCCAGTAATGCTATTTTACTTTCCATAAGAACAGCCCTGGATGCAGATGAAGTCTACAAAAACGAACTACGTTCTAAGAGTCAAGAAAATGGCACCCAAAGGGAGCGGTCAGAGGAAAGGCTCACCATTTCTGATATCTGATGAATGAACAGTTTCTCCCAAAAGAGATAGCCTGAATCTTGAGAAATTTGTGTACCAAGGAGTACACAATTTTTAAAGTTGATTTTTAAATAGATAAAAACAACTGCAGTGAGAGACCTGCCTGGGCTCCAGAAGACTTCTCCCAGGCCAGCAGAATGTTTGCAGCTATGATGAAGTTTGAAGGAGGAGGACCTTCTCAGCCTGGTCCAGGGTGAAGCAGGATTCCTCCCTGCCTGTTCATTGCAATGGGAGGAATATTTGCTAGGAAGTGGTTGACAGATGGGCAGTTTCATGCTTCCCAGTTGCCATCTTCTATCCTATGGATGCTCCCTCAACCCTTTTCCTTCTCAGCCTTGCAAAGGACATCTTAGAGGGCCAGTTGGGAGAGATGGGCAGGGAAGGATTGTAGAGTACAAATGTAGAGGTTTCAACGCTCCCCCCACCCCGCCCCTTCTGCTGTTCCCTTACACAAAAGCCCCCAGCCCCCCTTTTCCAGCTGCTCAAACTGAGGATGCCTTTGGGGAGGGGGAGGTCCCTTTCTACAAACGAAGAACGGCACTGGTGGGACACTGGTGTCTGAGAGTGGCAACCTGCATTTGCTGTCTTTCTGACCAGGATGTTCCTACAAAATGCTCTTTCCCCTCTTCGCCTAGGATCGCCTCCTGCTGCAAAAGGCCTGCTCGTTCTCCAGGGTGTGAAATGAAAATAGCGACATCCAAACAGCGAACATAGCAAGCACCTACCTCTCTCTGTCTTGCTCTCTCCAATTTTCGCTCTGCTGCTCAAAAAGTGCTGATCCTTCCCTTCCTGTTCTAGCTCCCAGCTCATCCCCCCACCCCAATTCACACACACACTTTCTTTTCCTGTTGGCTGTGGTCTAATCTGGCCCTTTTTTGCAAACACAGCATGTTGACCTTTAACAGGGTCTGTTAATCTTCACAGCCTCTTTTCAAGACTGGGCCTTGTTCAGGAACAGCCTATTCACACTCCTGCATTCATCTGAATTCAGAGTCTCTTTTTTCCTAGAATTCCAAGGCCTGAAATAGCCCTGCTTGTCGCTGGTCCCCCCCTCAGTCCCGCTGCTCCGGGTGCTGCTGCCTGGGAAGCGCTTCCCAAGGCCGGGCAGGAGGAAGGAGGCGCCTTTCTCTCCCGGCACACCTAGAGAGAGGCAACATCGGGGCCTGCGGCAAATTAGCCCCCGACGGCTTGAGGAAATAACTTGCCCTGCTTCCGGCTTGCCTAAATGCGACATACCGAGAGCGGCCGGACATCGCAGTCGGCTTTACCACCAAAAGGTTCCATTCAGGGGTTCCCAGGCACTTTGGCACCATTTTCTGGATCAAAGACTCCGTGGCACATTTCACCCCTGTGTGGCCAGTCCAGGAACGGTGCCAAGGCTCACTGCGGCGCTTGTAGAGCGACCTGGCTCCCCTCTCTCAGCTCCCCTCGGCTGGAGCGAAGGAGCCTTGCCGCGCCCTTCCCACCCTCGGATTCGCCTGTCGACGGCTCATGCACCAGAAGGCTCTGCGCGGTTGCCCCGAAGATGGGCTTCCTCTGCCTGGACGCGCATCGTGAGGGTCCAGGTGGCTGCTCTGGGTGCTAAACTCCTCAGGGCAGCGACCTCTCGGCTCCTCTGTAAAGCGCCACCACAGAAGCCGAAGGGAGCGCGCCGGCTGTTAATATGGGCTCCGCCATTGGCTTATTCTGCAAGAAGAGTTTCACCGTCTCTACCTTTCTTCACTACCACTGTTGTCGCTGTATTTGTCCTCTGCCTTTCCTTTGGAAGCTGAAGGGGTGTCTCCCTCCATTTTATCCCGCAACAGCTCCCCTCGGGGGGGGGAGGGTGGAAGAGAGCTGGACAGCAGCCCAAAGGTACCCGAGAGCCCCATGGCCAGCTGAGGGGTGGAACTGGCAGAGCAAATAATTTGTCCCAGGAAGGGTCAGCAAATTCACGAGCTGCCTAACCGCCTCCCGTATGATCTCCCGTGGCTAACACACTTCACCACTCAGCAAACCATCGAGGGAGGTCCGCGAGCAGGACCTCTTTGGTGGTGCGCAGGAGGTGCCATCCACACCGGAGGTTGGCCCTTGGAAGAAAGGGCCCCTCTCCATGTGAAAGGTCAAGCAGACGTGCTGCTGGACGGGGTAGGGGAGGATCCGCTGCTACATCCCACCCATGCGCCCCTTCCCTGATCGGTGCCGGATCTCCCCACCCTTCTGGCCAACTGACTTGCAGGCGCTGCTTTGCACTGGCTCCCAACACAGCCCATTTTGCAAGCTCCACAAGGCTTAAGGCAGCATTTTGCCCTTTAAGCCCCCAACTCCCAAACCACAAAGAGTCCCCGGATTTCAACCTTAAACAGAGCGCTGACGACCCCCCAGCTCCTGTCCCAGGCTGCCCACCCCTGCCTTAGGCACAGTGACGGGGCTGCTCCAGGCGAGAGATCTTTGCGGGAGGGGTCTGGCTCCCTTTTGCCCCAGACCTGGTCTGCTGCTCAGCGGCTGTTCCTCTGTGCCTTGCTGAGCTGCCCTGACGGATCCCGAAGCCTCCATTTGTTTTATCCTGCATGCATTTCCCTGATCCCATTTGACAGTCATCCAAACTGAGAGCCATTCACGGTGGTGAATTTTATGGTTAAACTATGTGCCCGAAGTCGCTTCCTTTCTCCATCCTGGCTTTCCCATCATGTAGATCAACGGGTGACTTTCTAGCGGTATATGACAAGAAGCATGTCTGCCTCCTCACTTGTTCCACACCATGCAAAATTTTAATGCGTACCTGCAAAGCCTCCGCTGCTTCTAACCAAGTAGGTTTCACCATAGCTTCTTACAGCTTTGATCACCACACTGTGCATCTTCCCATGAGTTGTACAGTCTTACAAACACTTACCCTGATGCACTTAAAGGAAGTAGTCTTGTTAGTCACACTTAGGCCTACTCAAATCAATTTGAAAAATGCCACTGATTTCAATGAGAATTATCAGGATGGTATTCTTCTGGATCACCTGCAAGGGTTGGGAGGGGGGACGTCATTCTGAGGTGGTTCTGCTCCTACTTGTGTGGCTCCAGCAGATAAGTAATGGGGAACAGCAGTCAAGCCTTTGGTTGCTCTACTCCAGGTTATCAAGCAACTATAAAAAGCCCCTGGGAGATGCGATTTGCTGGCTTGGAGTGAGAGATCATTCATCTGCCAATGCGGCTCAGCAGTCCATCAGCAGACCGGGCCATGCTGGTGATGCTGCAGATATCTTGACCCCATGTCTGGAGGGCGTTAAGGACCATAGGGGGAGACAGCAGCTCAGACGAAACCCGGCAAGAGGAAGATACGGTCTGTCTGCAGACATCAGCACTATCTGGTAACACTGCCTTGGATCACTGCTGTCAGTGAGGTCATGCTCCACTTGACAGAGGTGGTCCATGACTTAGGAGTCCTCCTGGACTCACAACCCTGCCTGCATAGCAGTGGGGGCCATGGCCAGGGCACCCTTTGTCCAGTTGGGCTGGTGCACTGGTGATGACTCTACCAGGACAAGGACACCTTGGCACAGTGACTCTTACCTACATGACTGCACAGGTGGAGTATTGCAACCCCTCTACTTGGCCACCTTTCAAGTTGACTTGGAAGTTGCAACTGGTATAAGATCAGGTGGGGGAACCATAATAAGATGGATGACACTCTCCTGCAGTTAACGTTTTTAGGGTTTTAATGGTTTTAATTTTTAATGTGCTTTCATGGCTTTTTGTGTTATTGTTTGATTATTTACTTGTATTGGCTTTTGGGGGGGTTAACTGTGTGATCCATCTAGAGTTGCGTATATGAGATGGGCGGCTATACAGATTGAACAAATTAATAAATAAACCCACTAGGGCAGGACTGTCCCCATCCTGAGATTACTGCACTGGATGCTAATTGGCTTCCCGCCCGAATTCAAGGTGCTAATCGTTACCTATGAATCTGTCAGGCTCGGTCCCAGAGCAGTGATGAAGCAGTCCGGTCGAGCCCAGTGCCTTTATCTGCTTACGCCTTGGAGACAGAACCTGGCCAGACTCAACCTATACGAGAGCAGCGGGTGGATCTGCCCTGGGAGGTTCTGGGGAGGGGCAGCCCTGGACCTCCTTCGGCTGTG